TGAAGCGGCCATCTCCTGGGACGTAAACATCATCTCCATCAAATTTCTGGTTAAGGACGTCGCGTTCGAGCTCTGGGCAACGGCTCGGCGATATTCCCCCTTACTCACTGGGTGCACTCCGCCGATCATAACAACATCTCCTTGCGCTTCCCCGACTACTGGTTCTGGCAGCACAAACGGACGCTCGGGTTGTTCTTGGAGCCTTCTTTTCTTTGGCTGGTTTAAGAGATCATCTGAGTTGCCTAGCTTATTTAAAATCTTCTCCATCATGCTTTCCAGCTTGTCTAGTCGTGGCAAAATATCGACGCATCTGCAGGTCGCTATAAAAGCTATAGGAAAAATTAAAGAAAATTAAAATAAGCATATTATTATAATTATAATTTATTATTATTAATTTAGTATTAATTTAATTAATTTATTATTATAGTAATTTATTTTGGAAAAATGAGATTGGGGTTGGGGTATTTCGTTTTCTACTCTAGTAAATACTTTACGTCTCCATCATGCTTTCCAGCTTGTCTAGTCATGGCAATATATCGACGCATCTGCAGGTCGCTATAAAAGCTATAGGAAAAATTAAAGAAAATTAAAATAAGCATAATATTATAATTATAATTTATTATTATTAATTTATTATTAATTTAATTAATTTATTATTATAGTAATTTATTTTGGAAAGATGAGATTGGGGTTGGGGGTATTTCGTCTTCTACTCGAGTAAATGCTTTACGTGTTGTGATTCAATATTTCAACATTAATTATGTCAGCATCATGTAAATGCTAATACTGTGCGGGCATTATTAGTGTTAACTGCAGAGGCCTACTCTTAAATTTATAAAGAGGTATAACTTACGAGTGGCACAGTTGTTTGCTGTCTCTGTTGTTAAAAGAGGACCAATTGTATCCAAGAATTCCTGAATGCTATCATTGCCAATAGACTGATCATCCAGCTTCGATTCAACTGCTGATGTGTTAGCTGTTTCAACATCCTCTACCATCAAGTCACGTGTAGGTCGATCATTAGCGACAACCAGGTCCTGCGTCTCGTCGACAGTGTTCGGCTCATCATTCTCGTTGATAGTGTTCACCAAGGGATGAGTAGCATCATTTACAATGCCCTGATCATGCGCATCAACGACAGTGTTCGGCAAGTCATCAGTATCGTCCACCGCAGTGTCACAGTCCTGTGGCCTATCATCAACATTTTCCGATTCTGTAGAGTAAATACAATATTGGACATAAACTTAAAGTATTGGAATACCAAATAAATCATATTTGTCTTCTTTTAGAATGACAACAATGACTAATTTATTTATTTATTTATCTAATAATAATAATATATTATTATTATTATTATTATTATTACTAATTTATTTATTTATCTAATATTATTATTATTATTATTATTATTATTATTATTATTATTATTATTATTATTAATAATTCAAAGTATTTACAATATATGCATTATACCGACATTTTACAATTAAAAATATTTATGTCGTTACGTCTTGCTATTATAGTAGGAATATAGTATATGTATACATAATTTTTAATGTGTTGTACCATAAGTAAACATTCTGGTTTATTTACAAACACAATAATTATAATTATTTAAATGAAATAGATTTATCAAGTTAGACTTACCAAATCCGCCCTTCTCCCAAAACTTCTCATCTAGTGCGACCAACTCGGCATTATCGTCAGATAAACCCAAAATCAGGCACTCCAACTTCTTTCTATCACATATTATAGTAACTAGGCCATTTACAACAACTTCACCATGTAGTTTCTGTGTCTTTACTATTGAGGTGCTCTCGTCAAAGTTGAAGTACACAAGGGCTTCCTTCGGAGTTCGTCGTTGACGGCGAGACATAATTCAGATTCAGGTTTACTTCGGTACAACAGCAACAGTGGCAATACGATTTGTGATGATGGACTTCGTTTTCCCTTGCTTTTAAGCATGTCTATTGACATCGGTTTGTATCTTGTTGTTTTGTGTTAATGTAATTGTTTGTTATTTCTTTTGTATATAAAACGCGCGCCGTGTTTTGGAGTGTTGAAACACCCTCCATTGTGTTTGTTCGTGCGTGCGCTTGGAATAAAAGTTTCCTTTGAAGTTAAAAGTGTAAACTAAAACTGTAAACTAAGCAGACACTCAGCGAATTGCCTTCAAGCAAGATGTTACCAGCTCCTGCTACTCCAGATTTTTCGTCCAAACTGGCTTCAGGCAATTACTTTAGAACAAGAAAAAAGAAACGCGTATCAACTAGATCCGTCGGAAGACCATCAATTGCGTCAACGTTTCCCGGGCTTGTACACATTGCAAGAAACTTTGTTGAAAGTAACGGTTTCGAGGCCCATCGTCGGAGACAAAACACTACAGGACTGTGTGGGACCGGGTTAAAGCACCTTCGCAGACACCTCCTAGAACAAGTTGATGGACTGGCCGAGCAACATCCACAATTTAGTAAGTTTGACAAAACAAAATTATATTAGTATTAGTATTTAGATACGCTATTCATAGAAAACTATATCATAGCGTTTATATATGTAGGCCTGTATGAAATTAATAATAATAATAATAATAATATTATTATTATTATTATTATTATTATTATTATTATTATTATTATTATTATTATTATTATTATTATTATTATTATTATTATTATTATTATTATTATTATTATTATTATAATGGTCACATTATTAAGAAGACACAACAATAATTGTTACTTAACCAATATCCTAACGTATGACATAATCATCGTATTTATTATTATTATTATTATTATTATTATTATTATTATTATTATTATTATTATTATTATTATTATTAAATGGATTTCTTTTTTTCAGGTATTGACACTGTACATCATATGTTCAAGAGTCCTCATGAGGGAAGGAACACATCAGCTCTTTACAAAGGTTATATTGATGCTAAGGTTCCAGCGAAGGATAACAGTAAAATGAAGGCAAATCCAAGTGGACACTTCTACAGCGCCCGTGTTAAATATTGTCTTCAGTTCTCTGCCTGTTACCCGGCCAATTGTTGTGTGTTTTCCGTGGACAACAAAAACAAAATTAAAATTGGTATGTACACCATTTTTCCACTCTATATTTCTAGGATAGTGAGGGGGTGCAGTCCGATCGGACCCCTCTAAATTGTATTAAGAAAAAAAATTGTTGTATTGAATTATTGATGATTATTTTGATCGATAATGTAGCATTTGAGAACGAATGTACCGCAATCATTATATTCGCCATGCAAACTTTCATACAATATCTTTATAACATTTGTTTATAAGCCTAATACACTAAAAAATATCCGATATGTCGCTATGTACTTATCTTGAAAATACAGATAGGCCTAAAGTATTTTCAGATGACAGATATTGGATTTTATTAGTATGGAGATAATTATTATTTTTTTGTATAGTAATATATATATATTTTTTTATGCGATGAGACCAAACTGTGTATGAATGATGAATCCGATTCCCTAATAGCAGCGGGTACTGCAACCGCTATATAGATATATGAATTTGTGTCAGGAAAAAAAATTATAATACAGGTCTCCCTCCTTCCATATATCTATATTATTATTATTATCTATATTATTATTATTATTATTATTATTATTATTATTATCTATATTATTATTATTATTATTATTATCTATATTATTATTATTATTATTATTGTTATTATTGTTATTATTATTGTTGTTATTATTATTATTATTATTATTATTATTATTATTATTATTATTATTATTATTATTATCAGGATCGGATGTTGTTGCCGTTGACAGACGCAATAAAATACGCCGTTTTTTTCCAAGCAACGACAGGCCCGTCTACAACGACCACGACTTCCCGAGCCGTTCTGGCAACCTAATTACACCGTGTGGCTACATGA